GGAGGCTGAGGCAGGAGAATCGCTTGAACCTGGGAGGCAGAGGTTGCAGTGAGCCGAGATCGCACCACTGCACTCAGTCTGGGTGACAGAGCGAGACTCCATCTCAATAAAATAAAATAAAATAACATGAATGAATTTAATTAAATAAATAATTTAAAAATACGATAAATCATAGTAGGAATCAAAGTAAAGGGAAATCTACTCATTCTTCTTTGTAGAACGTTCTTTGCCTGTATCTCTCTCTCTGCATTAATTTCAAATCTGTATTGAGCTCCAGGGCCCTGGATGGATTTTATTTGGGTGCTATACTTTGGGGCCAATGTGCTCTCTGCAGTGGTGCTGAAGGTCTGTTGCAGGTGACCATGTCCTGCCTCTCTTGCGATCACCCACTCTGAAATGTGATCTAACTCCCTTCTTCTTCCATCCTTATTACTGATGGAACAGATTTACCACTGTGAGGCCAGCACAGCTGTTTCGTGACTCACGGGAATATCATATTTAGCATGTGTTCCCTAGTGAAATGTATTTATTTAGATGACACATAATATTGTTGAGAAGCCAAGTCTGCATTGCTCTTAAACCCAGCCTTATGGATGAACGCGGAGGAGTGCAAAAGGCAGAATGAGCTCATTTGGGAGAGGCAGCTGGTCAAAGAGTCCTTTTGGGCCATTCATGCAATGAGCTCACACTAGAAATCTAAACAACAGGGAAATCTACCCCGGGTACTGAACTACGGGGCACAAGAATACGAAGCAGCCTTATAAAGCAGCTCATCCTAAGCATTTGTGGCTCACAAACATTGCCACTGAGCATGGGGGGGACTGTTGATGGCACACCAGCCTTCTGAAGAGAAAAACACAGTCATCTACCACTTGAGTTGATAGGGTAACATCTTGGGAATTGATAGCAGCTTTATGGCTTTTATCCTCTCTGGAGGTCATCCTCTGGAAGGTATCAAGGCCATTAGCACTGAACAAGCCAGAAGTCCCACTTAGCTGATAGCGGGCTCCCCTCTTAACGCCCTACCCTCACCCCCAGTTCATCTTCCCAGGCTTGGCGTTGCTGTGCCTCACTGAGTGGGGGCTCAGAACATCTCCCCAAACACAGGGAATTGGAGGGAAGGTGTGCTAATGAAGTTAAGGTGTAAAAACATGAGCAACCTTCTGGCTGGGCACAGTGGCTCATGACTATAATCCCAGCACTTTGGGAGGCCGAGGCAGGCAGATCACTTGAAAGTCAGGGGTTCGAGACCGGCCTGGCCAACATGGTAACTCTGTCTCTACTAAAAATATAAAAATTAGCTGGGCACGGTGGCACATGCCTGCGATCCCAGCTACTTCGGAGGCTGAGGTGAGAGAATTGCTGGAACCTGGAAGGCGGAGGTTGCATTGAGCCAAGATTGTGCCATTGAACACCAGCCGGGGCGACAGAGCAGGACTCCATTTCAAAAAAAAAAAAAAAAAGCCACCTTCCCATTGTGTTTTTAATATCCTTCTTGGTGATGTCTGGAGCCTGTGACTCTGCTGAGACAGTCTGCTCAGGGCCAGTCTCCAAGAGCTCCCATTTTCTTAAACACATCGCCTTGAACTTGCTCACATTTGATCTCATCTCCCTCCTTCCTTCTCACTGATACAGAGTCTTCAGATCTTCCTGTTTTCCTGTCATCATTTGCCCACCCCTCATCCTTTCATCTGCAAACCCAGAGCTTTCTCCGCTCTCCCCAGCCCCACATCTTCCAGCTCTTGTAAAAGAATATTAAATAAAACTAGGGCTGGCACTGATCTTTCAGAAATCTTACTCTTGACACATTCCTATCAAAAAAAGGACTCTGTCCCTTCATCCCTGGCATTTATTTTTTTGCTCTTTAGTATTCTCTGATTGTGTCACCGTAGCTCCCGTTTCAATCAATTGGTAGTTCAATGATCTCCAAATTCCTCGAAGTCATGAAAGTTCACGTAGGTGTTTTTCAAACTTTTCTGCAGCAGTGAAACCCTGTGACCCTGCTGTTGTGCCACCACCAGACATCCAGAAGAATGTTAATGTATAGATTAAGACCAGAAAAAGTACTTGAGCATCTTGTAGTTGATTGTGAATATCAGCCCAGGGAATGTGCAACACAGAAAACAGCCCTTTCAGGCTGGGCGTGGTGTTGCACACCTGTAGTCCCAGTTACTTGGGAGTCTGAGGCAGGAGGATAACTTAAGCCCAAGAGGTTGAGGCTAGAGT